TATAATGAAATAATTTTTTCTTTAATTTTAGCTTATTATTGTTAGCTGTAAATGTTTCCTTTGCTACTTATCTAATTATTATGTCGCTATTTATCATTGAAGAAAAAGTAAGGCGGCAGTGTTATACGTATTCATTTCAGAAAAAAAAGGGGGCTAGGGTATACAGAGATAAGAATATTACATAACAACACGTCTTGCACATATTGCATAATATTAAATGGCTTCCAACTACATGTTCTATCAGTTTTTTGTTACATATTATATGACTGTCTTTTAAACGGATCAATATCATTTTGCGACTGCATCTTACTTTTAAAACAACGGATACACAACAGTGACATAATACGTCGATAACAAAGAGATGAAAATTAATAATCGAATTGACTTTTATAGTAATAATTTCATCTCTCTCTTTTTTTCTTCCTTTCTTTTTCTACTTAAGATTATTTTAATGTAATTCAACAAAAGAAACACAAGCTTTATCACAGAACACTGTATATAAATGTTGAGAAAATTCATATCTAGACTATAAATTACTAGTGTCACTGTATTTATGTTAATTGCTATTCGTATCTAACGAAGAGCAACGTGTGTTACGAAACATTTGTACTTAGTGAATGTACCTCGCCACCTATGTTCGACAAAACTCAGAACCTCTAGAATATCTGATTTATCGGTTCTTAAATCATAGCAATACGCAGTAACTATCCTGTCTTTATACTTTAAACACTGTTTATACATGCTTTTAATAATCGATAGATGTATACGTCGGAAAAAAAAAAAGTAAAAGGAAAATCGAACGTTGTTAAATGCTCGTGATTGTTGATAATAACATTCGGGGTTTTGTTGAAACTTGCAGGCAGATTTCCTTAACAGGTAATTTGTACCTGTTGGATGGACTCTGAAGCAATTCGATACATTTATGCAATATATTTGTTCAATTACCTAGTTTTCCCGTTATTTTCGTGAAAAATACGGGTAGATAGTGAGGCTAGCGTGAGTTGATGACTGTAGTGAATTAATCTACGGTGTTTCATATTCGACGATGAGCGTAGTTGAGTGGGTGTTTCGTGGGTAAAATCATGGAGTGTTTCTGATCATATGCGATGGGCGCATTGCTAATAAATCGACTGCGTCCACACTCTGATCACTCCTATTTCATGTGAAAAAAAAAATTCTATGATATTAGCGATCATCCGTTTATCAACGGTTTTTTCTTCTTTTTTTTTTCCTGGTGAACAAATCTAATTCAGAGCTGAACTGTACTCCCTGGGCTAACTTTACTGGGAGCACATATAAACCGGTGGTTTGAATATAGTTGAAAATGTATTTCGGTATGTTTCCATGGCTGCCGCTGCCACAGCCTCAACGTTTCATTGTTCGCTTTATCGATAAACTCTCGAAGAGCGTGAGGCTACTATGTTTCATAATACTCGGAATTTCTGTTAATCGATCGACATGCTGGCTGATTTGACGAAACGAAATGTTCATAACTAGCCCACGTAATTCACGTCAGAAACACTCGACGATTTTATTGTACGCCGCCCTGCTTCGAAGCCGAAGTTAGACATAGTGAGAAACAGAGCCTTGCAAAATGTGTGCGATGCTACAGAGTCCGGGATATCCGTTACATGTATTTCGATTTAAGATTGAATTCTGTGGAATTTGTCGTGCAAGAGTCTTACGCGATGCCTTCACATTTTCCTTTAATGGCGTCTACCTATGTTCATATGTCACCTGATGACGTTTCAATGAAACGGTTCTTAGGCTAACGGCGGCGTGGTGGGCGAAATTTGGCAACGGTACAGAAATTTCCTCTCCAGGTTTATGGCACGTCCATACCAGGGGTCGAGAGGTGGGAATTTCTAAAAAATTTCAATAAAACAATTTGACACATGCAAGCAATATAAAAGCGGGTGGGGGGGAGAAAGTCGTGAATTCGAAAAATAGCCTTTATGGTCGTGCGATAAACCGTCTGTTGCCAACGAAGACCTAAGAAAAACGTTGTATAAAAATATACACCTGTGTGTAACTAATTTCCGAAAATTCGCTAAATTCCATCGACTCGCCAGCGAATATACCGATATATGTTACGCAAGCCACCCACGATACTTGACGATAAAAACACATCTCTGGTATTACAAAGTTTTTCATCATTTTTTCACACGTACAATGCTGCCCATCGAAATGACTCTATACGAACTGTTGTTGTTGTTGTTGTGTGGTGTGATGTGGTGTGTGCGCCTTTTCCGGAAATACGTACAAGAACACGGAGTATCTGAAAGAAGAAAGGAAATTTTGTATATTCCGAAATTTGAACAGAGACACTCGTTAAGTTTTTATCCGCAAAACATCTTTTTATAATGCTCTCGTCTGCCGTGTTGAAAGCAGTCGTAAATCTACGATACGATACACAAGCGATTATAATGCGATATATACAGTCATGTGGCAAAATCCTGAGAAACCACTATTGAGTAGTTCTTCGTTCTCTATTTTCTTTTTCTTTCTCTTTTTTTTATTTTCTTCATTCTTTTTCTTTCTTTTTTTTTTTATCGCAGAAATCGTTTTATCTCAGATAGTGCACGATAACGAGAGACTCGAATATGGAAAATATCGCAAATGCTGTAATGCTTTATCGGTTAGAAAGATCGGAGGGACGGCGTGAGACAGAGAGAGAGAGAGAGAGAGAGAGAGAGAGAGAGAGATAACAAGGTTAATGTTGCATCCGACAAGCGATATTCTTTAATGGATTCAACATTACACACGTACAATTTATATCGTGTATCAAACGTCCCTAAGCATCTATCATGTCGTGCTTCCGTGATTAATTAACATTAACAATCCAATGTATCGCTTTTATTGAACGCAATCTATTTGATGCTCGAGAAAACAGGCGTCTTTAGTATTTCGTAATATTAATAATACGTCCGTTTCTTTTATCGTGTTTCAATCTTTTCAGGCATTTTGTTTTGTTTTCTTTTTTTAATGATTATTATTATTATTATTAGTACTATTATTATTACGGAGTTGTAACATGATTGTAGACACGCTGTTGTAGCAAAACTCTGAGAAATCATGGAAAAACTCGCCTGCTACGAGTTTAACACACAATAGGAGTTTTAGATTTATTGTGAGAACGTGTGCCGAGAAAACTGTTAGCGCGGAGGCGTAGCGAAAATGATCGTGATACGTAATTAGGTATGTGTACGTGTGTGTGTGTGTATATATGAATATATTCATACATATATATATATACACCCACACTCGTGCGTATTATAAATATATAAATATTTAGGTAGACCAATTAATTTTTAACAACGCGATACTTTTGTACAGCGACGAAACGATGTCTTCGAATTCGGATAATCTAACATATATATATGTGATACATATACATATGAAAGTAAAAGAGCTGTTGCTCTTATTCGTAAACAGGAATATGTACAAGTGGTATATTTTCGATTAAATTCACTTGTGTGTACGCGATTGAACGTTTTATTCGCTTACATGATCGATGGATGATGAATCACGATATATATATATATATCATTGTAGTCAATGTACAGAGAGAAGCTACTTACGGTCTTGAATTTTTTCGAGAGCCCACTTGTGTGTATCGTCGATGATTTGAATAAAATTAATTATCACTTCTCTTTTTCGTTTTTCACACTTTCGCGTAAAAGTACGTTCGACTCCGTGAATGTTTACTTAAAGAGTTTATTTATGTACGAAATTACTTAAAGGATCAAGGTGATGGAATTTAACAAAAACAGAAAAAAGTAAAGAACGAAATGGAAGAAGAGGGAGAATGACTAAAGTCGCAAACTTTTTCACACGTTTTATCGTTGATTATTGTTACCAGTTTAGATTCCGTTCCGTGGTTAGAGCGACTATTTGGTGATAATAAGCCGTGCTGCAGCAGCAATAAAGGAGCCGCTAACATTTTTCTCAGTGCCGAAACAAACAAACAAAAAAAAAGAAATAAATAAATGGATAAATCGTTACTTCGAGCAGCCTTGCTGTATTACGAAACGTGCGAATATATGTAAGGGGATATACTTTTGAAGAAGTAGAAAAAAGAGAATGCGTGTATGTGGGCCTGCGTGTGTGTGCGCATGTGCGTGTGTGTGACTACGCCCAGAGGTACGTGAGCGTAAGATTGTAGTTGTTAAAGAAAATGAAAGAGAAGAGGGGAAAAAACAAGAGGAAAATAATGGTGAAAGCCCGTTCGCCGAGCGACGATCGCAGAATCGAAATCGAAACTTTTTATATGCAAGCAGTTTATATGAGAGTGATTGAAGAGAATAAAAGGGAGAGAGAGGAAGGAAGAAGAAGAAGCTCGAAACTCCAGCTGTTGCCCTATTGCATACTGGACGATTAATAAATTATTGTATTATTATTATATACACGTTGTACAAAAAAGGAAAAAAAAAAGAAGAACAATTTGTCACAAATGGAATGGAATTACTAGGGTTCAAAGTATCTTGTGGTGAACGAGTGAACGCGTGTTGTGAAACAGAGAGTGAACAGAAAAGGGGAAAAAATGAAAAAAAAAAAGAGAAATAAAATAAAACTAAAACAGAATGAGAGAGGCGCGCGAGTATGCATGTATAAAACAAAACAAAAAACAAACATAATTAACGATATTGCCTTGATTTGTAAATAAAACTTAATTACTTCCACTAATGAAACCTTCTCTGCGGATACCGAGCGGGCCGCGCGATCGGCCCATGCGGGCTCACCTCCTTCGATTTCGTATCTTTTTTACTAAAACCGCGGCTGATTTTTTAACAGCGAGAATATTTTG